TGCATCCCAGCCAGGTGATTCCCTCCCCGGGTAACCCCCTCTCCTGCACCCCAACCAGAGGAGTCCCTCCCCAGGTCAGACCTGGTGATCTCTAAGCACGCCCCCTTAGGGCCCCGCCCCTCCCGGTGCCACAGTGTGGGGGGAGAGGGAGGGGGGCGGAATCTCAGGCCTGTGGGTTACCCACGCTGAGCCTCAGAGTTCCAGCTAGTGAAAGGGATATAGGACCCCCTCCTTTTACTCTAGCCTCGTGTCAGGGGTCAACCCTGGAGAGTGAGCGGGTAAGGGAGACATCGAGGTTAAAGGTCAGCCCCTCGACCTTTGCCCTAGTTTGGCCGTAATGCCACCCTGCGCGTTCGCGCTCCAGTGTCAGGCTGGCACCGTCGAGGAGAGGTCAGAGGTCGCGCTCACCTTCACAGCATAGTCTATGACCCGCTTGACTCCCACCAGCGCGCGCAGCTCCGCCATCTTCACGCCGCCGCCTCTGCCGGGACTAACGCTTGCAGGCCGCTTCACCGGCGCGAGCGTTCCGCCCTCTCAGCTCTCCACCAACCAGAGACCGGCGCTGTCTCTAGACTCCGCCCCTTGACTCCGGCCTTCACCAATCAGTAGCCACTAACTCCGCCGCCTCTCTTCTCTTCCCGCCTCCAAAACTGCTGCGGTCTCTTTTACCCAACACTCCTCCCCACAAGGCCCTGCCGCCCTCCACCAATCAGAAAGTACGTTATGAGATCATCCCGCCCCCTCGCAGTCTCTCCTCCAATCAGCACCAAATGCCTTGGAAGCTTGGGGAGGGGCGCTCGACCACGGGCCAATGAAGGGAGTAGGTGTGTGCGGGCTTCGAGACTTGGACCCCAATGGCGGGCAAAGGGCACACAGATGGTAGGGTGGACCTCCAAGACCCAAACGAGGGTGCAAGGTCTGGAGCCCCAACCGTCTTTCCTCCCAAATTGTGCCTTCGTTGCGCATGTGCGGGAGCGAGTCCGGAAGGATGCGCACGGGGGCGGGGCCAAAGGGCAGGCGGGGGTAGGACCTTGGGAAGAGAAGGCGGGGCCACATGGACAGGGCGGGGTTCAGTCTTTTCCTTCCCCCTCCCCTTTTCCACACTGTAAGTTACTCCATCCCTTCTGGCCCCCTCCCACCAGGGGTTTTCCAGGAGGGCTTCCAGGAGGAGGGAAATCCAGCGAGACTGGGGGAGGGAAGCGCCTTTATTAGCCTAGATCCTGGACCCAGCCGCGCTGGGCTCACAAGCACACCGGGAAGCCGCTGATGGCGTCTGTGCTCTGCAGGATCATGTCCGCGAAGAGGAAGCAGAAGCCTAGGGGAGGGGGCTGGGTGACTCAGGAGGAGATGTCTAAGGGTCGAGGAGGGGAGGGGACTGAGTGACTCAGAGGGAGGGGGACTGGGGGTCCCGAGGAGGGGAGGGGGCTTGGTGACTGGGGGGGAGGGGGACTGGGGGTCCCGAGGAGGGGAGAGGGCCGGATGACTCAGGAGGAGATGTCTAAGGGTCCGGAGGAGGGGAGGGGACCGAGTGACTCAGAAGGAGGGGGACTGGGAGTCCATTGTCCTGCAGGGCTGAGTGACTTTGGAGTCCCTAGAACAGGAAGAGAGGGGAGGGGAGGGGACTGCGGGTCTTTGGGAGGAGGGACTGGAGGGTAGGCCTGGGGGTCCCTCGGGTGGTTGGAAGGACGTGAGGATCTCCCCCTGGGCCTTACTACCTGCGAGGATGGAGAAGGGCAGGGCTAGCCAGGCGGTGAAGTAGGACCAGGAGAAGAAGCTGTCCAGCTTCCACACGTCCCTCGCAGTATAGCCCACCATGCCTGTCAGCAGCAGCAGCGCTGGCCCCACCAGACCCCCAGGGTTAGCAGAGGTGAGGGACCGCGGCCGACTTCCCCTCGAAAACTGCTCTCCTGCCTGGCTCTCCAGATGCCCGCTCGCATCCGGATCTTTCCCCTCCCCTTCCAGACCCTTCGCCCCTTTCCTTGGTCTGGCTCCGCCTCACCCTTGTGCCTGAGCTCTGCCAGCCCCTCTCCCGGAGCCCCTAGCCCTGCCCCATTTCCAGGTAATCTGGCACACCTTAGGCTCCTCCCGTGCTCCCCTTTTCCAGCTCTGGTTGGCTCTGACTCTTTCCCCCTCTGGCCTTACACTCGCCCCTTCTTAAAAGTGAAAGGGTGCTTTCCGAGGCTAGCTCCTGCCCCGACTTCTTCCAGAAAACCCTCCCTGGCCACCCCTGGCCTGAGCCCCGCTCTCTACCGCTCCGCTCCCGGGCTTGGTCCTGGCCTCGCCCCATGCCTGCTTCTTCCGACTCGGGCCCCCTCACCGCTCAGAAAGAAGACCAGGCAGGCGTTCCGGCCCCGGGGTGGGATAAGGTTCCCGTTGAGGGATGCGTGCAGGACTCGGACGCCCAGCACTGTGGCCACGAGACCCGAACCAGCTGCCAACACCACACAGGCCGCTGTCACCGCCAGCATGGCTGGGGAAAGGGGGGAGGGGGCAAGGTGTCAGCAAAAACACCTCCCCTCCTCGCCCATGAGGCCTTAGCGTCCCCGCTTGGTGATTAAGAGGCAAGGAGAAGAAGGGGAGGTGATGTGATGACTGGAGGAAGGCTATGCGATAGTCAGGGTCGGTCCCCAGTCAAGGACCTCTGCCCTAACGGGCCAGTGTCAGGCCATTGCGGTGATGGAGTGAGACGGCCGAGGGGTCAGAGATTTGGTGCTGGAAGGGAGTTCAGAGATCAGCCAGCTTTACGGTTAAAGAAGTTGAGGCCCGGGGCGTGGGACGTCAGGACAAGGGGACCTCAAGTGCTGCGCGGCTGCGGGAGGGGCTGGGGGGAGTGGTCCTCACTCTCGCAAGAGGCCTTGGTACAACTGTTCTTTCGACACATCCGCCACAGTCCATTGTGGCCATCGGAGAAGCGGCTCCAAAAGTCGGTGGCGGTGGCCAGCACGACGAGGATGTTGGCCAAGACTCCCAGCGACAGGCCGGCACTCTGAAGGCTTCTCTTCACCCCCATCCAGGGGCTGCTACAGGCCAGGGGGTGTGGCAGGGCTGGGATTCCAGGTGTGGAGAGGGTCCTCCCCACCCACTCCTTTCTTCCTGGGTCACATCGAAACCCTTCCCTTTGAGGGGAACCCTCCCCACATTTTGTCCCCCCACCTGCGTGGCCCACGCCCAGTCCAGCTAGCCTGCTCCTCGGGACAAGTCCCCTCCATTTAAGGGGAATCCCCTACCTGTATGGCTCACGCCCAGCTCAGCTAGCCTGCTCTTCAGGATGAGTCCCTCCATTTGAGGGGAACCCCCCACCTGCGTGGCTCACACACAGCTCAGCCGTCCTACTCTAGCACCTCCCGCTTGGGGTGGGGAGATGGAGGGTTAGTGGGGGAGGGGGGTCCAGGGTCTCTATGAGGAAGGAGTTCCAGAATCCCCCTACACTTCATTAAAGGTACACACACACACACACACACACACCATTAATTGAGGAGACAGAGCCTGTTCGTCCTAGATCAGCAACAGGATAGAAGAAGATTGAACACAGGGACTCCTGAGGGAGGGAGTGGAAATTGACGGGGGAGAATAAGGGATGAGAGAGTTAAGGAGACATCTGAGGTTTGGGACGAGAGGAGGGAAAAAACAGGATATTCTAGGAGCAGAGGCAACAGAAGGGGAAGACTGGAGAAATGGAGTAGGGGGAAATTTGGAGACAGAAAGTTTGAGAAATTGGGAGGAGAGGGGGAGAAGAGGAGGATGAAGAGGAGAGACAGAAGGGAAAGACTGAGAGGAGTAAAGAAAGGTGGTAGTGTGTGTGGGATACTATGAGACAGGATGGGGGATGGGGGAGAAAAGGGATTCAGGGAAGACTGGAAGAGAAGGCATGTTGGCATAGACCGACACTGGGGAAAGACTAGGACATAGGAAGTACTGGGAGATAGGGAGAAGGGAGATAGTGGAGGCTAGGAGATGGGGAAAGAGGCAGAGTGGTAATGGAAGGTGGGATCGTAGGTAACAGTGTTCTAGGGGGACACTGGCAGGTAGTCAAGGGAGAATGGGAAAGGATGTGTGGTTGAGAGGAGGGTTACTGGGATAAGATGAAAGATCGAAGAGACGGAGAGATGAAGGGTTCAGAGAGTCAAGCTGACTGGGGACTTAGGGTTAGGCTTGGGAGGAATAAGACACAAATAAACCCAGTAGGCAACTTTTGATTTATTCAGTGAATCGAGGGCTGATTTCTCAAGCTGAAAAGGTCTCATAGCTGGGACGGGGAGCACCCCAGTGCATCACAAGGCTCAGGACTCCTATTGTGGTAGAGAGAGGGAGGCTTCAGAGGAGCTTCATTTGGATCCCCTCCCCCACCCCATTCATGTCCTGTTCTCCATCCTCCCAATGTGGGGCTTCACTCTAGAGACCCAAGAGGTAAGGGCCACTTTTCCCAGTCTCTCTCCCTTTCTGGGATGGGAGGCCTGTATTCCCAGAGGCTTCTAGTCCTCCACACATTCCCCATACCTTACTTCCTCCACTCACCAGTGAAAAGGAAGAAGAGAACAGAAATCCATCCCATGTAGAAGGACCAGGCAAAGGTGGTCTGAATCTGAGGCTGATCAGATTCTTTCCATCGCTCTCCAGTGTAGACAGCCATTCCCACCGTGCTGCAGAGGACTATGAATGGGGGGCTGTGAGGCCCTTCTCTCCTCCCCAACCTGCCAATTCTTCCTCCTACGTTTCTCTCCCTCCCCTGCCATGGGACTCACCTGCAGCAAAGGCTGTGATGCAAAAAATCAAAGAGGCCAGGTAGCTGAAGCTGGAGTTGCGGAGAGATGGAGTGATGGAAAGGATCAGACAGGAGATGGACAGCAGACCCGCCAGTGCAGCCAGGATGGTGAAGACTCGGGTGGCCTGGATGAAATCTGCAACATGGGTGCCAGCAGCTCAGCCCAAACTGGATGTTCCAAGGTCAACAAATCCCAGGGGCTGCCCTCTTACCTTTCACAGAATCCTCATCTGGATGCCAGAGGCCAGAGTGAGCCTGGTGGTTAGGGCCTACAGAAGCGATCCAGTTATCAGTACTCAGTGCGACCAGCAGGAGGGCTAGAGCAAGGCTCCCAGAGAGCAGGGAGAGCACTGAGCAGAGACGCATCCTTGACCTGGGTCCTCAGGAACTGGGGGTGCCTTATTCTCAGAAATGGGCAGTAACTGGGAGGTCAGACACCTGGAGCCTTAGACAGTGGAAGCCAGAGAAGAACAGGGAGCTTGGATCTTGTAGGTAGGGTAGGGAGAATTTGGGGCGCAACTTGAATTCCTGGGAGATAGAAGTGCCAGTAGCTGGGGCCTGAAAAAGTTACAGAGGACTGGAAGCCAAATGTTTGGGTCTCAGGGGCCTGGGAGGGAACTGAGACTTGGCCAAGCCAGCAAGAGGTTGGGGGCTTCAAGTGTGGGTCCCGGAAAGGGAAGTGGTGGAGGGTTTCACACCAGATTCATGACGCAGATCATCTTTATACTCCTTTCCTCAAACCCTAACATCGCTGTCCTCTGCCTGGGGCTGGTGGGAGCTGGGTGTGGGGAAAGGCAAGTAAGACTGACATCCCCCCAGGTAGTGAGTATTGTATAGGGTGTTAAGGGGAGAGGCCTCTTCCTCCTATTCCATGAAAGAGAAGAGGTATCCTGGAGGTGGTATGAGAAGGTTAAAAAAAATAAAACAGTGGCATTCACCAGGATGTGGGTAGGAGGGGATGTGGCTAGTAACAGCAGAGGCTCGGTAAAGCTGACTCACTAAGCCCCTTTTGGTTCTATCCTGGGGAGGGGTAGGTGTGACTAGATGCCTAGATCCCTGAAGTGAATAGAGGCTGGAGGCAGTCACTTGGGTCCCCCCAAAGGAGGTTGGCACTGGGAAGCCTAAGACCGATGCAAAGAGGGGAACTGGGAGCTAGGACTCCTGGGGTCAAAGGTACTGTAGCATGGACACCTGGGCCCCAGGAGGCTTGGGAGGCCAGAATCCCCAAGATTACATGGGCTTTTGAGACCTGAAATGTCTAGGATGCCAGCCAAAGGTTCAATTTATTTCCCAAAGATGCCACTGCTCAGGCTGTTTGTTTGTCTGTTTACTTGGTTATTCAGTTTTTGTTTATACAAATGATTTCTTAGCTGGAAAACCAGGGTGGCTTGGAGACTACTTCAGGCCACTTCTTTCTCTTCCCTCCCCCACCATACACAGAGAGTGGAACCCAGGGGATTCTTGGGAAGAATGGGAACAAAGAGGAAGGGGTCCTGGAGGCAAAGATGTTAGAATGGAGGAAGGGGTCCCCAGAGGTGAACTCAGAGCCAGTACCTGAGAGGCTTTAAACACACACACACACACACACACACACACACACACACACACACACACACACACACACACACA